TATGTGTAGCAGAAAACAAAAGAAAAGGAAAAAACAAAGACGAAACAATATATGAAAATAAGCCATTATCGAATGGCAAGGAGAAATCCCCCAGACAGCTGCCCAGGCGAGACATACCCACCCGAGGGGGTAACAACCACCAAGCGCATTTAAAACATCCTCGGCTTTTGTTATAAAACGTGAACAAATAATATTCAAAGGAACAAAAAATAAAGTAAAGTACGATGGTGAAATAAGAGTTTATAACACTTAACAGGGTTTCTGGTGTGGAGTGCGAAAAGTGCTGCGTCACGTCCCAAGCAAGTACGCCCGCACGAAAGCGCACTCGTGAGGAGAGATGAGCGAGGAGATGAAAAGGACGAAGCCACAAATACCCGGACGTTACGTGAGATATGAGGAAAAGTGTGGACATTTCAGCGATTACTGGTCACCAAGTGCATTAGAATAGGGGACGATTAGAATATTTGATTTACATTACATGAATTATTTTGCTACTATATATATATTTTTAAAAATATTTTTATATTTTATCTTCATCATTTGTTGCTACATCTTGTGTGTATGAATTTGAATAATATATCTGAATAGTAAGTGTTTGCTTTAAGACCAATTGTTAAAACTGAACAACCAAGCAGAGGTGATCCGCAGAAGGTTGCACTGCTGGATATTTAGAATCAGCATTTTACATTTGTACGTCTCCAGATAGAGATTCTGACGAAGGATCAATATTTTCAGACAATAAATGCATTAAACATTTTATTGAAATAAAGTCAGATCAGCCGTAGATTTTCTTGAGAAATATCATAATAGCCACGAACAACATCAACATCGCCACCAGGTTGACGACGGCGGCCGCGTCCGCCGGAGACATGCAACAGCGCTTTGAAGACGGTGTTGCGGGAAGCTGTGGAGGCGTCCTTCGGGAGGGAAGGAGCTCTCCTGAAGCCAGCGAAGGAGGAAGGGCGTTGGAGGGCGTGGGCGAAGGAGGAGCTGCAGGAGGCGTAGTTAAAATGGCCACGAGAACCGCGGGAGGAGAGGAAGGGCGCATCGGGATGATATCATGGGCGACTGAGGAGACCCTGCATTGAAGAGGAGCTGGGGAAGGGGCGGGCGCGGGCGTGGGAGGAGGGACCGGGGCACAGGGAGGCGCTGGCGAGGGCGCGAACGGCGACCCAGGAGGCGACGGTGGAGGCGTCAAGGGAAGCTCTATGACCGCAGTTTCACACCGTGACCTGAAAGATCAAAATCATTACTTTAGCATCAGAATTCCAAACCAGAAAAGAGTGAACTGATAATGCAAACACATGTGACATTCTAATGAAAAAAAAACTATGGAAAGACTTACCCATAGAATATCTCTCGATTCTCGGGGAAGAACACAATACTCTCTCCGACCTTCGCACCACTTAGGGGAGAGTAGACGGGGCCTGGAGGAAATTCATGAGAAAGAAAATTAGAATAGATCAGATCAGTCTTAAATTGCATTGCACATTAATTCAGAAAGTATTCGACCAAGAACAGTGAAATAAAAGCTATACATACCCAACGCACATTCCATAACGGTGGCAAGTTGCAATAGAAAATAATGAAGCAGACAATTGCGGATTGAAGGAGCTTTTGACCAGTGGTGCGTCGAGATGTCAACTGAGGAAAACCACTTGACGACTTCCGCTTAACTTCAATCATCTTACCGCAGAACCTCGCAGATTTGTGACGTCACATCGACCAGGTAACAGGTCCACCTGATTTCTGACTTTTGAACTGGCATCGTCTGATCTCAGGTCATAGTACGAAATTATACAAGGAATCCTATAACTTTACGACAAGGACCATGCAGATCTCTCAAACACCTATGTAAAAAAAAAAGCCTGCGGGCGATGTATTTACAAAATACGCTGATAATTTAAACAAATATGCAGTTTCCTTTCCCCTTCGTGAATAGGTAGTGAAAGAATGAAAGGTTATCCTTAGCTTTCGTTTCAGGCAAAAAAGTGAAGCTAATATACCATACTCCATGAAAGTAATATGTGTTCTTTTGTAATCTAAACTCAAATCACATATGATATTTGATGTAGACTTTACATCATGAGAACACTCACAGCAATATAATTCAAATATAACATAATATAAAACTTACTATATCAATCATGCAACAATAAATTAAACTTTCGAATCACTGGTATCACATTCATGTATTTCATTCCGTATACAAATAGCTTTTGACTCAAAAATTCTCATTTCTCTTTCCCCTCATTTGACCTGTAGGCTTCATGTGAGAACTGACCTTAAAGGCTACCGACGTGGAACTCCCGAATGACAATAATTTAACTTATTTAATTAATTTATTTTCTTATTTTTCCACAGCGGTTTTCATTCCGAGTTGGCGTGAAATACTCCAGGAAGTGTTATTTGGAAAGTGTGTAGAGAAAGGTAAATATATCTGAAACCAGGAAGTAAACGGGAGTAAAAAAAAATCTAGGGAGTGAATCTGATGTATTAAACTCAGAAGTTTAACCTCACTTTTGTTTTAGGTTTTAGAATATTATCGTAGGCTTTTACTGTTCGGCATAGCGAAAACTGATGCAATAGTTTATACAAAAATGATGTTAAATATCTCTCTTGTGTATATAGACATATCCAGTGACTGATTATATATTATGTATTATATATTTTCCCAGACTACGTGACCTGTACAGTGTTAAAGATTGACCTTAACTTACTGTACTCTACTGGCATCAGAAGGAGAGTACATTATTTATAGTGGCAAGAGAAACAAGTACATATAAGAACAAATTTATTATCTATGTTTTCTGCTATTCAGAAAATAATTCCATCACCTCTCTGAACATGGACGAACTCGCATAGAGAATATGGAATTTCGCCCCAGAGCATAGAGGTTATAATCAAATGTCGATGGAGATGATAAAGAATCTATAATATTAAGAGTTGTTCCACATTTTCTTAAGGAATATCACAATAATCACGAACAATATCAACATCGCCACCAGGTTGACGATGGCGGCCACGTCCGCAGGAGTCATGCAACGGTGCCATGAAGACGACGTCGCGGGAAGCTGTGGAGGCGTCCTTCGGGAGGGAAGGAGCTCTCTTGAAGCCAGCGAGGGAGGAAGGGCGTTGGAGGGCGTGGGCGAAGGAGGAGCTGCAGGAGGCGGAGTTAAAATGGCCGCGAGAACCGCGGGAGGAGAGGAAGGGCGCATCGGGATGATATCGTAGGCGGCCGAGGAGACCCTGCAGTGAAGAGGAGCTGGGGAAGGGGCGGTCGTGGGCGTGGGAAGAGGAAGGAATGGCGAGGGCGCGAACGGCGATCGTGGAGGCGACGGAGGCGGCGTCAAGGGAAGCTCTATGACAGTAACCTCACTTCGGGACCTGAAAGATAATGATTAATCTAGCATCAGAATTCGAAATAACAAGAAAACAGTGTATTGATTATCCAAACATTAGTGGCAATTTAACTCTAAAAAATACACAGGAACTTACCAGCAGAATATTTCACAATTCTCGGGGAAGAACACAGTACTCTCTCCGGCCTTCACGCCCCTTGGAGGAGGGTAGACGGAGTCTGGAGGATATTCAAGAAAAAGAAAATTAGAATATATCAACTCAGTCTTAACTTACATTGCACATTAATTCAGAAAGCATTAGACCAAGAACAGTGAAATAAAAGCCATACATACCCAACGCACATTCCATAACGGTGGCAAGTTGTAATAGAAGAGATTAAAGCAGACAATTGTGGATTGAATGAGCTCTTGACCAGTGGTTCGTCGAGACGTCAACTGAGGAAAAGTACGTGACGTCTTCCACTTAATCTCATTCATTTTACCGCAGAACCTCGCGTATGATTTGTGACGTCACTTCGGCTAGGTAACAGGTCCACCTCATTTCCAACTTTGAATCTGACGTGGTCTAAGTAAGAAGGCTTTCAACGGATCTCATATTTGATGTACAAGGCCAGTTCAGGTCACGCATAACATTTTACACTATGATCCTGGAAATTCTCGATAAGGGCCTTGCAGCTCTCCCAAACACTTCCAGAAGGCATGCTGACGATGTACATAATATCTCGTATTGGCCATTCAGATAAGACGTATTTAAGGCCAATTGAAAACACGCCGATGATTTAGACAAAGATGCATTTCCTTTGAACTTCGTGAACAGGCAGTGAAAAAGCACGGTCGTAATCCATAGCTTTCATATTAGGTAAAAATAAGTAAAACTAAAATAGTATACCCAATGAAAATACAGCATGTCTCTTTTCAATCTGAAACCAGTTTATATCTAGCGTCTGATGTAAACTTTGTATTATGAGAAGAAATACAGTTGCAGCATTATGAACACAAAACTTGAAATAGCATTTCCTATACCAGCCATGCAACGATAAATCATTTGAAATCACTGTTTCGTTTTATGTATTTCATTCCGTATGCAAACATCAGCTTTTGTCCTAATATTCACAATCATGTGAGAATTGACTTTAAGGTTACCGAGATGGAACTTCCGACAGACGACAATTTGACCGTGTTTTCTTATTTTTCCATAGCGATTTTACTCCAGGAAGTGCTATGTGGAAGATGTGTAGAAAAATGTACAATCACCTGAAACCAGGGTGTTTATTCTCATGGGAGCAAAAAAAATCTAGGGATTGAATGCAGGGAATTAAACTCTGGAGAAGAATGACGTCACTTTTGCTTTAGGCTTCAGAATAGAATAATAGGATTTTACTATTTTCCGAATTGTAATCATTTAATCTCACTTAAATATATATATACACATATCCATAGAGTGATTGTATATTATGCATTTTTTCTCAGGCTACGGAACCTGTTTAAGGAATGCCGCAACGGTGTATTCTTCGCAACAGGAGAGTATATTTTCAGGGGCAAGAGGAACAAAAAAGTGTGTGTGTGTATATCAGGAATTGTGGCTGATTTCGCCCCAGAGCATGTATTCTCAGGCTACGGACCCTGCACATCGAGTAA